TTTGTCTATTTTGTTCTTCTAGTATATAACTTTATATCCTCTTCAATGTTCTTTTGCAGAGCAAACGGAGCCACCTCCCAGCCCACTTTTTTTTGTCTATTTTGTTTACAAGTACTTTCTTCTAGTATATAACTTTATATCCTCTTCAATGTTCTTTTGCAGAGCAAAAGTTGTGCATTTTGATCAGATCTAGTTTATCAGTTTTTGCATTATGTATCATGCTTTTGATATCAAACATAGAAGCCTGAGGGCACACAGATTTTCTCCTCATTTTTGTTGTCTTAGTCATGTGCATTTCTTAGGATTGGGACTCTTTGTTGTCAGCATTTCTTTCCTTCTTTTTCTTCCCCAGCACTTTCATGCTGCTTGTTGGACTCTGGCTTGCAGTTTTCTGAAGAGACATCCATTGCCCTTATATTTATTTATGTGTGTGAGATGTGTCTCTCCCCTTGAGTAATTTGAAGAGTTTCCTTTTTAAATTAAATTTTTTGGTGATGGTCCTGGGACAGTCCTGTCTATGCTAGGTAATCCCAGGAATGTCCCATTTTATGCTATTTTGTAAGAACTTGATTTTTATAATCTTGTGGGACTTTTAATCCCCTTATCTTTGGGTTCACTGAGCTTCTGGGACTTATTTTTTTTAAACCTGGATAATCTTTGGCATTGTTTCTTCAGGTATTTGTCCCTGTACTCAGCCTTTGGCCCCTACTTGTGAGACTCTTGCAATGCATGTTGGACTGTTAACACATCCCATAGTCACCAAACCTGTCCTTCTACAGTGTCTTTCTTGATTCTGCTTCAATCTTTATAAACTGTTTCTCTGCCATCAAGGTCAGTAATACTTTTAGCCCCATCATTAATTCCATCTGATCATGATTTCACTTTATTATGTCTTTGATATTCAGAAGTTCTCTTTAGCTCTTTATTGTATTTATATTCTTACAGTATCCCTTCTGACTGTGAAGGTCAGATGAGGGCTTCAGATCCTCTGGAACTGGAGTTACTGATGGTTATTAGCCACCATGTTGGTGTTGAGAATTGAACCTGGGTCCTCCGCAAATTCCTCATTTTCATCCTAATACCCGAATATGATCTTCATAACTGTTTAAATGTCCTTGTTTGCCAATCATTTGTGTAGTAGGTTTATTCGTATCAGTTGTTTTTTCCTCCTGGTTTTAGGTCACATTTTCCTGGTTGGGTGATAGATTTTATAAAATTCCCATTGTCAAATGTCTTTATTTTGTTTTGCTTTTTTTCCTGGCATGCAGCTATTTGTAGTTTAGTGCAATTCTTTTACGGCTTTCTTAGAATAGGAATAACTTCTAATCTAAAGATAGTTTTGCCTTATTGCAAAGGCATGAGCTCTCTAGAATTCTCTTGAATGTCCAGTAGGATTTGGCACTTGTGCTTGGCACTTGAATGCATGTCACCTTAGTCCTGTGAGAGCTTTGTGGACTGTTCATTTTTCTCCTGCTTCCTACCCAGAGTTCCTCCTGTATATGTGCACCTTGGAAATTAGTGAATGAAATCAAGGAATGAGCTCCTTTACTTAAATTTTTGGAGCTCTTTTTTTTTTTTTTTGGTTAGTGCCATTACTCTGACATGTGTTACCATAACCTGGTAATTCGCCTCCTCTTCCACAGTCCAGAATTCCCTACAAGCAGAAAGTTGGGGGACAATGTGGCTTGCCTTGCTGGTTCGTTCTTTTAGGGAACATAATCTTAGTTACCTGTTTTCATTGTCTGAAAATCGTTTTATGGACTCTTATCTAGTTTGTCCTTGGTTTTAACAGTCAGGTCTGGTCCCCATTACTCCATCATGTCTGAAGTAATGTTCCTTCAATTGAATAAAAATCAACTTTTTCACCACAGAATAAGTTTCATATTTCTAGAAAAGTTGTAAAGATAGCCCAGAGTGTTCTGGCTTATTTTTCACCCAGTTAATATCGTAAGTTTCATAGGACATTCTTCAAACTAGGGAATTGACATGGACTTATTAAACAAAAGTCTGTTTCAGTGTATTAAAAATAAAGCAAAGCTACCAAGCCATTTGCCAAAGTGCTTGCACACTTACCTGGCGTCCTACCAGCAACAGATTAGACTTCCTGCAGTATTTCAGCACATGATGAAAGTAGCACGCTGAAGCATCACAGTTCCAATTACTCTGAAGTTACACCAAAATTAAAAGGAAATGATAAAATTGAAGTTCCTGAGCCTGTGATTACAAATGACTCATAACTGTACAATAGCAGGAACATTCACTAATCTCTCACTACATACCAACAGTTTTGAAGAGCTTTATGCTTGTTAGTTCATACAACCCCACGACATCCCTGCATCATTGGCGCTCTTCTCATTTGCTCTTATAAATTAGGAGAGAGCAGATCAGCAGCTTTCCTGTAGACATACAGTGATGAAGATGCTGTAAAATAGTACAGTATTCTGGTATACCCCACATCCAGTTACCAAGTAGGGGCTTGCTGCCTTCTGAGCCACTGTGCCAGTGCAGACTCTCACTTGGTTGTATTCCAGAATGACTTGTGAAGTTGGGATAGTGTTGTACTTAGTACTTGATGGTCTTGAAGACCCTGATGATTCTGAAGTGTAGTTAGGTTTGGGAATACTGCACTACTTTATAGCATCTTTATTATAATAAAAATAAGCTTAATATTTTTAAATTTCACTCATTATAGTGGCTACTTTAGTGCATTTAGACACCGATTTAGGCATTTTAAAGTTTTTTAAAAAATATTTTATTATGCATATGAATGTATTGCCTACATGTATATAAGTGCACCTATGTCATGCAATGCCCATGAAGGTCAGAAGAGGACTTCAGATCCCCAGGAACTGGAGTTACTGACTGTTATTAGCCACCATGTTGGTGTTGATAATTGAACCTGGAGTCTCCACAAGAGCAGCCAGTGCTCTTGACTGCTAAGTCATCTCTCCAGCTCTAAAGTTCTTTTTAATAGGTAGAACTTGAGGCAGGTATTTTTTTTTTTGAAAAGTTTTAGGAAAAACCAGCTCTGCTTTTATTTTTGTATTATGGTACACTGGTTTTTATGTAGCAAATGCACATTTGTATGCTTTTGTGTGTGAGTGCACACTGACAGTGTTTTGGCACAAAAAAAATTTATCAATACTTCCAAAGTATCAATTTTAAAATGTGTAATCAATATGCACAAAGCAAGGAATTGAATTTATCCTACAGTGGCACACTTGGTTAAATTGTGTTATACAATTATCAAGCCAGGGCTTGCTACAGTATAAACATATAAGCCATTACTAGAGTGTTTGCTTTTGCCAAAAGAAAAAGCTTTGTTGCTTGGCCACGTGACAAAGAGGTCAGGGTCTATAAGCTCAGATCTGCCTCTCCTAGCAGGTAGTAGTGTGGGGACTTAGAGGAAAGGAGAGGGAAAAGCTTCTGGTTGGTTGGATGATATGGGGCTAGGTTCTTGTTTTTTTCACCATCTATGGAGGTGTTGATGTTCTGCTTGGAGGATTTCTTGAGCTTGTGATATTGTTGCCCAGATAATCTGGCCTCTTCTATTTTTACCATTTTTGAAAAGCTGGTTCGAAGTCTTAAGAATCATTAGCAAAGGGTCTGGAAGCTTTTTCTGGGGAAAAGCTTAATCTGGATATGTCTGAGCCTTAACTGATTTCAGTACCAATAGATTAGTATCCTCTGTCCCACTGAGTTAATCCAACATTGAATAATCTTCATAAAATGCTTTTCTATTATTATCATTCTGTGCACATTGGCACTTTTTTTATTTTATTATTATTATTATTATTATTATTATTATTATTTGTCTTTTTGAATCAGGGTCTCCCTGTAGCCCCAGCTGTCCTGGAACTCACTATGTAGACCAGGCTGTCCTTGAACTCACAGAGATCCACCTGCCTCTGTAAGTCACCAATTTCCCTTTAAAATGCAAAAGGAAATTTCAGAGTTTTATTTAAAGATAACTTATGAGGATTTAAAATAGAATAAATAAAATGATTGGTTTGAAATTAGTAAAGTTTTCTAAAATCTAGTTCTCTCAAAATCAGTAATGAAACTTACTTCCTTTGATTATTACTGGTGTGGTCTCTAATAGTCAGTTGAGTTTTGAGTTGATGATGCATGAAATCTCCACCAGAGTGTGCTAAAGATACTTCAAAGGGAAATTGGTGACTTAGACTTGCAGGTCTTTTTTAAGATTTGATTTCTTAAAGTTCCTTTCACTATGAAATAAATTTTCTGTACCTTGGCATCTGAGTATTTCCGTAGATACTTTAAAGGAATGTTTAATCAGTATACTATTTTGTAGTAAGCATGCAAAGTTAGAAGTACCTTGATTTGGCAAAGTTATCCTTTAGAAACTAAAATAGCTGCCGCTTTTTACACAGTAGGTATTGATTTTTCTTTAAACAGTAGGTGTATTTCTGAAAACTTGAATAATTTAAATGAACTGGAGAAACTAGTAATTTTTAATGAGATTGAAAAATATCCCATAGTATGTATTTATGAATGCTTTTAAAAATCACTAAATCAGGGGCTGGAGAGATAGCTCAATGGTTAAGAGCACTGGCTAGTCTTGCAGAAGACATGGATTCGATTTCCAGCACTCACATGGCAACTAAAAACTGTTCACAATTCCAGTTCCAGGGAATCCGACGTCGTCTTCTGACCTCCACAGGCATTGCACAACACAGGTGTACCTACATACATGCAGACAATACACTCATACACATAAAATAAAAATGATATTTTTTAAAAAATCACTAAATCAGAAAATATAGTTAATAATTGTGATTTAACATAAAATATTACTCTTACAATATTATTAATTAGTGTTATAACCATGCATTTTGTGTTGATATATTAGCATGTAAAAGAAACTTTCACCTCATATTTAATAAGTTTTCAAACTGAACATGTATTAACTGATTATCTGGCAAAAGTCCTGAATGCTAACAGCTATTTCTGTTTTCTTTTTCCCCTCCTCCCTTCAGGTACCTTCACTCAAATAACATAGTTGTGGTTCCGGAAGGTAAGTACACTTACAGTCCTTCCTATGAGGTTCAGGCTGGCTTCAAACTTTCACTCCTCCTGCCTCTGAAATACTGGGATTTTAGATGTGTCCCACCAAGCCTGGTTTTAAAGGTATAGCCCTGTCTGGCCTCAAACTCTTTAGCCTCCTGCCTCACCCTCTGTGGGTCAGTGATAATACGTGTTTGTCATCACAGCTGGGTTCATTTTTAAATTATGTATTTAGTCACACATTTCCCCATTGTTTTAATGTTTTTGTTGTATTTTATCTCATGATAGGAATGTTTATCACTTTTATAAGACTTGGCTTGATCTGTGTTTTACTGTTTTGAGTCAAAGACAAGAATATAAAGTATTATAAAATTTGATCTAGTGGAACACTTGACCCAGACTCATTTTGCCTTTCCCTCCTCTTCTCCTTTGAAGCCATTGGGTCCCTTGTAAAACTCCAGTGTCTGGATCTTAGTGACAATGCCTTAGAAATTGTTTGCCCAGAAATTGGTCGTCTGAGAGCATTACGTCATCTTCGTTTAGCTAATAACCAACTGCAGTTCCTACCTCCAGGTAATCACCGTCTGTTCCTTATGTGTCATAAATCTGTTTTTATCACTCTATGTCCTGGCAGTGGGCTGTGGATATAAACGTGCTCACAAGTATCTATTTATTTGAAGATGAAACAAAGGAATGTGTGTGAAACATGATGAATTGTTCTCCTAATGTAAATGTAAGAAGAAAGCATTTCTGTCTTGGGGCTAATAACCACAGGAGTGCCTTGAATTGGTGTCCCTTCTAGTCCCTGCCCTAGCAAGATGCTTGTATAAAGAGCTACATTAGTTCTGGCTTTCACATCAGAGAATTGGTGTGAATGCAGGTACTCCCAGTGACATTTTAAAAATTAAATCTCTAGTGAGGTAATTGATGTACATTAAACTTGATTTAATAAAGAACATATTAGAATTTTAGTAACACAATTTAAATTTGAGTCCTGAAATTCTCAGCATTTCCTCCTGAACATGTGATTAGATTGCAATGTGCCTATAGACAATATAAAATCCTGCACTCTCTTTGAACACTGTTAAGTCCTTGGACTTCCCTGGGAGGAACATCCAGGAACCTTCCTGTGTGAAAAATGTGTTTTGCCTCTATTTATGTAAGGACATCTGGGCATGCAATGTCCACAGAACTCAGAAGAGGGTATCAGATCCCCCCTGGAACTTGAGTTATGGATGTGGGTGCTGAAAACTGAACTCAGGTCCTCTGCAAGAGCAACCCGTGCTCTTAACCACAGAGCCATCCCTTAAACTCTCCCCTGCACCCCCCCTTTTTTTGTCTTTTTTGTGGCATGATCTCCCTGTAGCCCCAGCTGGCCTGGAACTCACTATGTAGACCAAGCTGGTCTTGAACTCACAGAGATCTGCCTGCCTCTGTCTCCCAAGTGTTGGGATTGAAGGCATGTGCCACCGTGCCTGGTCAAACCCCATCTTTTTATTTAAAAAAGTTCCTCTACAGTTTTTTCCCAATTTAGCTATTTCTAAATGAAAACATAGTATCTAATTTTTAGGTATTATGCACCAACCTTAATATATAGGTTTAATACTGTTTATGAAAACAGTATACTATAGCATTAATTTTGCTTTAAAAATATTTTAACCTCATATAATGTGTCTTACTGCTTCCAATTGTATTCAAGAAAAAATGTTGAAGTCAGCAAAGAACATGACTTTCAGTGTTTATTATGTGTAGTCAGACTCAGTGGTCTTGGATCATTACAGATTCATCAAGTTTACATGTTGAGAGAGCCATAAAATTAGATTATCTTTTGATGATTGCCTAGAAAATGTATCAGCATATATATGTTTTCATATTTCTATATTTGATACTCATACAAGACATATTATAAGGGCTGGAGATGTAGCTCAGTTGGTAGAGTACCTGCCTAGCACATATGAAGCCCTGGGTTTGAGCCCCAGCTCTATATAAACCAGGCCCAGTGAGTGGCACATGCCTACAACCCCAGTACTTGGGAGGTGGATCAGAAATTGAAGGCACAGTACATTCCTAGAAGTTAGTGATGTACTTCTAATGTCACTTGACTGCCTCCTAACAGCCAGTGACAGCTATACATTTCCTGACTACTTTCATGTAATTTATTTTATCTACACTTCACCTATTCCACAAGAATTCAGGTGTGTATTTTTTATTTTAATTTCCTAGCTTTATTTCTGTTGTCTGTACTTGGATTTGCTTGTTTTGAGTGATATTTTATTGAATAGCAGCTATATGTTTTGAATAGGAACTTTTTTTTTTGGTCTCTTTGAGACAGGGTCTCCCTGTAAGCTCCAGCTGACCTGAGCTAGCTATGTAGACCAGACTGGCCTTGAACTCACAGAGATCCACCTGCCTCTGCCTCTGAAGAGCTGGGATTAAAGGTGTGTGCCATCACACCCAGCCCTGAATAGGAACGTTTAACTGAGCCACCGCTAGGTTCTTTTCTTCCTAGGCATCCTGAGTAGCAGTGGACAGACCCTACTGCTTGCTTAACTAACATTTAGACACCTCACTTTGAGAGCATTTCAGATATTATTTGATTGAGTTAGGGGCCAAGCCTACATATCATCTAAATGGTTGGCATATTTGGAGGCACAGTGTATAGAAAAGAAGGCAAGAAGCTAGTATCATTCCTTTTTGACAACAGCAGACACCACTAGATGTGTCTTAGATAGCCCCTTCTACATAGGTTGTGCTTTGACAACAATAGACACCATCCAGTGTGTGTTAGATAGCCCCTTCTACATAGGCTGTGCAGTTTTGTAGATTTCTTTCATGTCACATTCCCCCATTTTACCATTCTTTGTGTGGTTGAAAAATCTTTGAAGATAACTTCATATTGACTACTTGAAAATTTAAAAAATATTTGGGACATTTGAAGAGTCTAGATGGATATAGAGTATTAACCTAAGAGTATGGAAAAATTATATATATATATATATATATATATATACATATGATGTAAGGATGGATCACAGAGCTCTCAAGAACTCCCTGAAATTGTGTGCTCAATTGGAGTTTGCATGACCATATTGCCATGAGGAGGCCCAATGTTCTATCAGTTTCTAAACTTACCCATGAGTTGCATGGTTGATAACTGGTTACTTTTGGCAATACCTATTTTTCTGGGAATTTCCTTTCCTCTGGTTCTGCTGGATTGCAGAGTACTGCCATTTTCTCCTGTGTGCCATTGCCGTTTCTCCACTTTTGGCTGGTCCACTTGTACATACCTGACAGAAGCAGCATCAGTTATTTTCCTGGAAAATTTAGAAGAGATTGGTGGGCAAGAAGGAAAGAGATGGGGAAAGCCGGGGAAGAAGTCCAAGTCCATTCGTCTTTTCTTTCCGGATTACTACACAATAATATGTAGTCGTGTGGTGTGCCGTTAAATAGCCATGTGGATTGTAAAGAAAGAAAAGGACAGATGAGGCAGGGAATGGGTAGAGAAGACTTGAGTCCCTGTCACTGGTTCCGTTTTTGAGACCTGCAGGCTTTGTACTTGACCTAGTTTTAGCTGGCTTCCATGAATCCCTCCACACAACACAGTTTCTTCCAAGGCTTGAACTGCTTGTCTGAGGTACAGGAGCCATTGCCTACTGAACTCTCCTCTTAACTGCTGCACCCAGTTGTACATTAAACTCTGTTAACAGTTAGGAAGTCAGGGTTAGCAACAGTGGTGTCATTAGGATGCCACTGTTTAAAGTGGTTCATTCTCTCTGTAACCCCCTCTTTATCTTTTTGCAATGTACTTGGTGTTCGTCTCACAAGATGTCTTTTTTTGTCCCACTGAATGCAAGTAATATTTTGCAAGGTGCAGCAAATGCTAGCATAGAGGTAGGGATGTGGAGATCATAGGCAAACACTCCTCGAGGATTAATGTGATTCATTGATGAGCCAGATGTACTGGAAGCATACAGCGTATTCTTTTCTTTTGTAAATGAAAATACATTTAGCATTTTATTACAGTATATGCATATATTTGTATGAAATGAGTCGTGTGTTTACATTTTATTCATTGTTTCTGAGAGTGTATTATGTGGGTGGGTGGGTGGGTGAAAAGGTGAGTGCACCACAGCCCTCATGTGGAGGCCAGAGAACCACTTTGTGGAGTTGATTCTCTCCTTCCGCTTTTAAGTGGGATCCAGGGATCAAACACTAGTCATCAGGTATGTGCAGCAAACACTTTAAATGGCTGAGCCATCTCACTGGTCCTATCACTGCGTATTCTTAATGTTGTACAAAATGGGCTTCATTGTGACTTTAAAAATTTTTCATTTTCGTTTGTTTTGGTGAGCAGCAGGTTTCATTGAGACATTTTCACAAATATATATCATTATTTTGTTCTCATTTCCCTCCACCCTCTGCTTGCCTCCTTCCTCCCTCCAAGTAGTGCCTTCCTCTCTCTTCATGCTGCATGTTCCGCTATCCTCTCTTACCTCAAAGTATGTTCTCTGTACCTGGCCTCATTTGCAAAATTAATAAGTGGTTTTGAGTGACATACGTGCTGTTGCATATGTATGTCATTCTTTTTTATTTCAAAATAGTATTTCATTGTATGAATAGTCAATTTACATATTTATTTTCCTCTTGATTAGCATGTAGGTTTTAAAAATGTCTTCTGTTTCGTATGAATAAAGCTAAGAGAAAATAACTAAAGAAGTCTTTTTGTGGATATGTTTTTATTTCTTTTGGGTAAAATATCTCAGAGTAAAAAAAATGTTGCTTCATAGGGTAGGGGCATCTTTAACTTTTTAAGAAATTTCCTAGGTTTTAAAAATATCTTATTTGTTATTTTTATTTTATGTTGTGACTGTATTGCCTGTATGTGTGTAAGTGTACCAGTGTTGTGCAATGTCCTCAGAGGGAGTCGAATTCCCTGGAACTGGAGTTAATGACAATTGTTAGCTGCTATATGAGTGCTGAGAATTGAACCCAGATCCTCTGCAAGAGCAATCAGTGCTCTCCACCACTGAGCCACCTGTCCAATGTTTTTAAAGGCTTTGTTCCAGTTGTACTTTTCTAACCATACAGGTGGCTGTGAGAAGGTTGCTCCCCACCCTTTCCAGTGCTGCCTGCCACTGCTGGGGTTATTTTTAGCAGCTGTAGTGGGTGTAAATGTAGTAGCTGCTTTTTCTTCTTTTTTTTTTAACAGAAATTTAAAAATGTTTATTATTTTTATTTTATGTGTATGAGTGTATTGCCTACATTTATGGAAGTGCACTCATGTCATGCAATGCCCAGAGAAGTCAGAAGAGGGTGTTGGATCCCCTGGAACTGGAGTTACAGATGGGTGCTAGGAATTGAGCCCAGGTCCTTTGCAAGAGCAGACAGTGCTCTTAATACGGAGCCATCTCTTCAGCCCCCAAGTTGTTCCATTTTGTATTTAATTTAATTTGTATCTCTCTTGACTAATAGTAACAAACACTGTCTCATGTATTTGTATTTAATTTAATTTGTATCTCTCTTGACTAATAGTAACAAGCACTGTCTCATGTATTTATAGGCTCTTCCAGATC